AGCATTCTTGGAAGGATTGTTGAACTGTAACAGATCTCCAGACAAGACAGATTGCCTAAGAAGAAGTACATAGGAGTATGAAGGTGTCGAATAGCTATGATGAGTACAACCATAAGCAGATTCCCAGACAGAGTCAACAAATAAATGCTGAAAAATACCAAGAAGAGAAGAAGATGTGGTCTAAGGGAATCCCCAAATCCTAGCAAAATAAATTCTCTGACTGTTGTTTGATTCTTCCATCCTGTTATTTCCATCAGTTGGTTTCTGAGAATAAAACTAAATATAGTATCTCTTTGAAGAAAAAATGAGAAGGCAATTACTGATCATGCTAGATTATTCATACACATCATTTGATGCTGCCACAATGATCACCCATGTTTGAATCAAATCTAAGAACAGTTAAAATCTTTCCAGATATATACATATATCAACTGCAACACACATACAATTTGTGCATACTGCAGCTTGCAATTTCTTTGCTAACCAAATCCATACCTGGGTGACCATGTGAAGCTGCACATATATATTTCTCTTATGGAAGCATTCTCCTGTTTCTCCTGGTCCTCCTTTTTCTCAATAGCTGCTTGCTATTTAAACAATTTTGGACCTAAAGATTTCTAAATTGTATATGGAACACACATCAATATAGTATTATTCTTACCTTACTTATCTGCACTAGAATACAGGGAGGCCACCAAAACTAGTGATGAGGAGATTCACAGGCAATTAGCATATTCTCAGTATCCTCTCCCCGTATTAGAATCATGTGAGAAGAAGAACAATGGAATGGAACTACTGAGTTATGAAAGATCCTCCCTTCCATCCCCAAACAATCACCTAATCTTAATGAAATGATCCAGCAAGTTAGATAAATTTTTAATTGAATAGATCCTTCTATGAAAAAAAAAATCTTTTTATTGATGTGAAGCCACTTAGTATGAAGACATTGTATAGAATTTCAATCCATTTTATGAAAAAAAAAGACTCCTTCTTCTTCTTCTCCACTCATTGCAATAAGATTATACATGAATAACGTGGTTACTCAATGAGCAGCATTTGGAAAGGTAAATGGTAGAAGAAATTTACAAATCTGCCCTGAAGGAAAAGTCTTGAACAAGGGTACAAATTTAAATCTAGAACTAAGAATCTAAAGCTAAGAATTAAAGTATAATTATCATTTTCTCTTTTCCATATTTGTGATTTATTTGCTTCATACTCCTTGCTCAACTGAGATCTAGTGTACAGTGCAGCAGCAGAGGAAGAGATGGGAAACAGAGTTCAGTATGGCAGCTTAGTTTTAGTTTGTCTTTAAAATGCACATACTGTTTTATAGAACAAAAAAAGGTGCAATTGCCATTTACCACATTCTCCCCCTGAACTATTTCCATTCCACATAATCATTATAAAACAAATAAAAATCTCAAAAACAAACAAACTCTAAGAACTGGTGCCCAAGTTTGGCTTTTTCTTTTTTTCTTTTCCTGTTCTGTCCCTTTCTCATTTATTTTTCCTTTTTGTGATAGGATTTTGTGATTCCTTTTTTCTCTTATTGTTCTCATGTAATCCATTT